GTCTCGCTGTGGGTGTTTCGATGTCGTACTCAGAGTCCCCAGGGAGGGGTTTGAGCCCCTGTGCGCCTCAGTGAGAAGCTGGAGCCGTAGAACACGCTGACTTCCATATTAGGCAGTAAGAGCTAATCGTCTTCTACGAGCCAGCCTGGGTTGTCGGGGGAAGCCTGCAGTTCCCGTGTAATCTGGGTATCCAGATCAGCCGGCTCCCCCGGGCCTTGCTGGAGGCCTGCCTTCCTGTCCTCTGGCTCTCCTGCACCCCCTCCTCGCGCTCTCTGTCAGACTTGCAAAGCTGGGTCAGGGGCGTGTGATGAGAACTCAGTTAGTGGGGTCACTGGCAAGGCTGCTGCTGGGGTGGCAGGACACAGTGGCGGGCTGCAGGTACAGGGCACCAAGGCGCAGCCCAGGGGTGACCACGTATGCACGTGCAGGACAGAGGGCGGGAACAGTCTCCCTTCACCTCTGCAAGGAGCAGAGCTGGGTGAAAACAGAGCTTTTTATCTCTTCACCAGTGGGTTTTCTTTATTTTTTACATTTCTCAAGATTCTCTCAACACTTGGAGGGTGTGTTCTGTTTCATTCTGGATTTTGTCCATCGGGGAAACTAAGGGACTGAACAGGGAGAGGGGCGATCGGAGGCCTTTTGGCTCATGTGCGTCCACCCTGGGGAGCCGGACCGGTGCCCACCCAGCCCTGCTTCCTCTGGGGGGAGGGGAGAGAGCCTCTTCCCCTTCTCCTTTGCAGGGCAGTGCCCTTGCCCCACAGCCCCCTGGGCAGCCGTCCAGGAGCCGGCCACTGCATGACCACTGTCCAGCCGCCGCCTTGCCCTGGTGGCAGGAAGTCAGAATTCTTCCCATTTTCTTTCCTGCTCGCTGCGGGGAGAGCTGGGTGGACAGAGGCAGGCTTTGTGGTGCGTGTGCCGTTCCCTTTCCTGAGCTTGTTTGCAGACTCTTAGAGGCTGCAAGAGCAAGGTCAGCTCGGGAGCCGGCTGCAATCTTGTCTGCTCTGGAGCAATTTCCTCCTGGGCCCTTCCTCTTTCCTTTGTCTTGCTCTGAAGCTCAGTGGTGGGTGGAAATTATGAAACTACTCTCTCTTTTCTTTCTGTGGGCCCCAGAAAATTTGTAAGGTGTCTACTGGGTGTCCACCACCGCAAACCGGGCAGAGCAGGGAAAGGGACATCGCAAAAAGAGTAGCTAAGAAGATAACAAAAGACTCATGCCAAAGTTCGTGGGGTACTCAGGCGGTGGGACCCCTGCTTTTGCTTATTTCGAATTATTTTCCGCCCGGTGTGTGCTTTGTGCGGAATGAAGAAAATCACTCAAAGCATTTGCAAAAGCCTGAGAAAGTTGTGCACGGCAGGTTCTCAGTCTCAGGATTGCGTCCCTCTGATGGGACTGGCTGTGGGGACAGCAGCAGAGACTAGAATCTCTTTTGCAAGAAGACAGCGCCCATGGTCAGGTGGACTGGATGCAAGTGCTGAGTGGGACTGGCCGGAAGTTCACCACTCCCGCGACAACTAGTTTGGGGGCTGGGGGTCCTCGGGAGCTTGGTGGTTGTCTTGGGGGGGGTTTGTGTAGCGCATCCTGGCAGTTGGCTCTGGAGTTCCAGGAACCCTGACCCCCCTCCCCCCCTCCTTGGTGGTCCTCCCCCTTCTCCTGTCCCCTTTTCTTGCCGGGCTCAGCTGGGTCCTGCCTGGCCTCCTCTCCTTTGCCTCCTGGCCTTCCCTTGTCATGTCCTGGGTGCTGTAAACCTGGTGGGGTCAGGGTGGCCCAGGAGCCGTGTCACCAAGGTAGCCCCTTGCTGGCCCGGGCTGAGGCTTCGTAGACCAGCCGAGGGTCCAGATGCCTACGGAGGGAGCCCTTCCTGCCAACCCTGCAGGGTGGCTTCCCGCCAGGGAGGTGGGCGAGAGGCACCGGACGCGGGGAGCCCTGCTCAGCAGCTCTGTCTCCTGTGGGTCTTGGGTGTGGGAGTCAGTGGGCGGATGGCCCCGTGGCCCTCAAAGGTGTCATGCTCAGGGGCCGCTGTGTCTGCTGTTCCCTGGGCCACGGTGCTGAGAGGCTGACCCGGAGCCCCTGCCCGCTCCCTCCCTCCCAGGGGAAGGGGTGGGGGAGGGCTGCACCCTGGGCAGCTCCTTGTCCCCTCCCCCACCAGCCCTGGAGGGTGGTTCTCACCGCTGGCCCCTCCCATCCTCCCCTTCCTCCTTCTCTAACCCAGGGGCTCTCCAGCTTTGGTGGCATCGGGGTCACCCAGGGGGCTTGTTCCCACATGATTTCCAGTCCCCATCCCCGGTTTCTGAGTCTGTAGGTCTGGGTGCCCCTGCGAGTTCACTTTTTCCCATGGGATTTTTGGTGGATCCCCTCGGGAGCCGCTGTTTTAGACTTGACCAGTGCCCCAGGGAAGGGCTGCTGGTGGCTCATCACTGGGGCCTCGGGGACCAACAGACAGCCAGGGCCGAGCCTCCTGACCAGTTTTGTCCACGCGTGTGCACACGTGTGCACGCGCACACACGCACACGGAAGTTCAGCTGTGCTTTGTGTCTGCCGTCCCACATTTCTCTGTCCACACCGGTGCTGGACAGTGACCCCCTTCCCAGCGCAGTGACCAGGCTGCTGTCTATTCAGAGAAGACAAGGGGTGGTGGCTCTTCCCCGGCTGCCCCGGGCGGTCCCGATGGACGGTCCCGATGGGCGGTGAAGCCCCTGCAGGGTGGGGGGAGACAGGCCCAGGGATGCCCCGGCCGCCTGTCCCAGTGGAGCTGAGCGGTGGCGATGGCAAGCACCGTGTGACAATGGCTGCTCAAAAATGTGCCCGTCAGCAGCCTTGTCCACCGGCCATTGTCAGATAAGCCCCCACAGTCACGCGGTAAGCCAGGTCCCTGCCATCATTTACATGACATCAGCCTGTGGTTCTGGAAGGTTCCCAGTGCCCTTGGGGGCAGGGCTGTGACTTGCGTCTGTCTTATGCCTCGGCCGCGCTGGGTCCCCGGGACTCGGGTTTCACTGGGCGACTCTCGTGGTTCTCCACCAAGAACAGGGTGACAGTTGATGGCTAGGCCCGGTGCTGCCAGGATAGACCTGGAGGGTCTGAGGGAGGCGAGGGGGGGCTTTGGGACCCAGCACGTCCAGGCCCTGGGCTTCCTCTAACACCTCACATGGCCCCCGGGCTCTGGTGTGACCTGTCCAAGGGTGACGTGGGCGTGTGGTGACAGCCCCATGAGATGATGAGTCAGGGTGTTCTGTAAGCCACGGGGCTGTCCCAGCGTGAGGGGTGGTTACGGTCCCTTGCGTTAGCAAGTCGGTGAGGGGGGTCCTCCTTGAGGAGCGGGGTGCCTCCATTGCCCGGAGGCTGCTGGCTGGGGTCTTGGAGGTGACTCGTGTACTGGGGTGGGACTCGGCAGGAAGGCCCACAAAGACTCCAAGAAGAACGGCGTGATGGCAGACAGATGGCAGCCCCTCTGGCCCGAGGCGTGGACCAGCGGAGGCACCAGCGGCCTGGGAGTCCTACAGCCACCTCAAGTGGCTGGCCCAGGACAGCTGACCCCAACCAGCAGCCGTGCACACGCGGCACCCTCTAGTGAGGAGCTGTGGGGAGGATCTCGGCCCCGGGCAGGTGGGCAGCTGCGGTAGGCTGGACTGAGCCGAGCGAGGTGTGCGGCCCCTCAGGGAAGCCCATTGTGGGGGAAGCCCGAGGCTCCCACGGAATCAGGGACACGCAAGTCTAGTCCAGAGGCTCCCAGCAGGGATGCTTCTGCCTCCAGGGCTCATCAGGCATTTGGGTGGAGCCAGGGATGCTGCAGGACACAGGATGGCCCTGGCACCGAGATGCCCACACACACACACACACACACACACACACACACGTGCCCGCACATGCCCTCTTCAAACACTCGAGAACATGGAGTGACATTTTGGCAGTGGACGGGGGACTTAGTGGGTGGTGGAAGGGGTTTCGGAGCGACTCTAAGGAGAGGAGTGTGGCTCATTGGGTCAGGACCTAATGTAGTCCACCGGGACACCCCCGGGTCATCTAATAAGAACGAGTGTGTGACCCGCGTAACACCCAGCGGAGAAGCTCAGGAGCCGCCAGGGCCTGCTGGTCTCGTAGCTGAGCGTCCCCAGGGGACCCAGGCCTGGCCCAGGCCCAGGCCGAGGCTCTGCGGCCCCACTGCAGCCGGTGCCGCTGGCTTCCTGACTCCGCAGGGTCTTCCCTGTTCTAGCGGGGACCTTAAAGGTTGAGGGAAGAAGTGCGGGTGAATTTCTGTTCCCCAAATCAGATCCATAATTTGACCTTGACCCTGAGGAGGCTGTGGAGATTGCAGCCCGAGGGACCTGGGGGGGTGTCACGTGACCGCTGTGCGCCTCCCTCCCCACCATGAACCCACACTGATGTGTGAAGTGGGTGGTGGGGTTAGAGGAGGGCGCTGGCCCAGGCCAGTGGTGAGGTCCCTCTGCCTCCGCCTCCACTGCAGGCCTCCATCTGCTCCTGCTCCCCCACTGCTCCTGGCCCTGTCTGGTGTCTAACCCTGCGCCCATACCCGGCCCTGTCTGGCGGCTAACCCGGCACCCATGCCTGGCCCTGTCTGGTGTCTAACCCGGCACCCATGCCCGGCCCTATCTGGCGGCTAACCCTTTGCCCATGCCCGGCCCTGTCTGGCGTCTAACCTGGCGCCCATGCCTGGCCCTGTCTGGTGTCTAACCCGGCACCCGCTCTCTTTGCGTTGGCGCAGATGACGTCCGGCTGTTCGCCTTTGTGCGCTTCACCACCGGGGACGCCCTGAGCAAGAGGTCCAAGTTCGCCCTCATCACGTGGATCGGCGAGAACGTCAGCGGGCTGCAGCGCGCCAAGACGGGCACAGACAAGACGCTGGTGAAGGAGGTGGTCCAGGTAACCGACCTGGGTTCCTTGGGGCCGGGGGGTGCGGGTGGGTTCCTGGATCAGACGGGGCCGGACCTGGCAGTCTCCGCCTGTGCTGTTACTGGGCTGGCTCAGGAGGCCGGGGGCGGTCCCTGATAGTGGTGCACCCTTGGCCTGTGCCCGAGCCCCGAGAGCTCTCTTTGTCAGGTTCTGGGTCTTAGGTCTGTTTCATCCTGTCCATTAAAGAAAACGGACGCTGTTGCAGCCCCCAGGGTCTCTCCTTGGAGTGAGGGTGTGGGGCAGCCTGAGAAAGGGAGGTGGTTCCAAGAAGGTGACCCAAGGCATGGACAGGGGGGCGAGAGCACTGCTTCCCAGAGGCTCTCAGGCACAGAAGGATCCCTCGAAACCTGAGCCAAGGACTCCTCTCCTCCTTCAGTGAGTCTATACTGTGGTTTGCAACTTTTCTGTACATCTACGTAGAGCTCTTCCAAAATAAAACTCTGATTTAGAAAAAAAGGAAAGCAGCAGCAGCACATTCCCGTTGCCTCCGTTGCACACTGTGCTCTCCCGGCCAGCTCCCCTGCCCTGTGCACCTGCATCCCTGCTGTGACAGCCTGCAGGTCACCGCGAGTCTGCAGCCTCTCTTAGGTCACAGAACCCATCAGTCACGTGGCTGCGTGGTCTTCGTAACCCACGTTTTTCTGGTAG